GGAGGAGAGGAGGAGGAGAGGAGGAGGAGGAGGAGGGGTCCCCGATCGACTGCTACGGCGGGAGAGCGCCGAGACCAGGAGGGCCGACGAGGCGCAAGTGCGGAAGAGGGGAGGCGGCCCAGCGGCGCGCAACGGCGCAGCAGGCCAGGGCGGGGGGGGGGGGGAAGAAGCCACGCCAAGTGGGGGAGCGCGACACCCAGACATGCGACTCGGCACACACACACACACACACACACACACACACACACACACACACACACACACACACACACACACACACGTACACACAATCACACACACACGCACACACGTACACACAACCTTGTCCGTCCCCCCCTCGTGGCCTCCAAGTTTCCCTCAGGACGCATGTGCGCAGACGAGGGCCAGGGGACGTATCGAAAGACGAAGGAGGATACTCATACCTATACGACCACCCTGCGGGTGATAAGGAGGTTGGGGGGAGGGTCCCAGCAATGGGCAACAGTTGTGATTGTTGTTGTGACGATGTCAATGGAGAGTGTTGCGTTGCCGCTCGCTCTTCGGAGCGTCGGTGTCGAGTTGTTTACATCACCCTTCGTTCTTTGGCGCCTTGGTACCATTCGTCCCTCCCCCTGGGAACCTGCCCAACCTGCCCAACGGCAGCCAACGGCGGCATGTGGTCACAGAATACTGGAGCGCTGGCAAAGGCTGGAGCAGCCCGTGCCCCCTCTTGCACTATCGATCTCACTATCGATCTCACTCAATCGATCTCACTCGAACAATCTCACTATCGATCTCAAAATCGATCTCATCATCGATGTCTCTCGGCTGGTCCCACTGTCGATCTCACCATCGATCTCACAATCGATCTCGCGATCGATCTCACTATCGGTTTCCCTAACGATCTCCCTTTCGATCTCACTCGATCGATCTCACTGTCGATATCACCGTCGATCTCAAACACGATCCCTGAATGGTAAGAAAGTTGACGGGGGGGCGGACCCAACGTCTCACCCAATCGATCTCACAATAGAACCCACCATCGATTTAACAATCGATCTATCCCGATCGATCACCATCAACATCATCGTCAGCAACAACAACACGGGTCGTCATCATCATCAACAACAACATCAACATCATCATCAGTATCATCATCATCATCATCATCATCATCATCATGATCATCATCATCATCATCATCATCATCATCATCATCATCACCATCACCATCACCATCATCATCATCACCATCATCATCATCATCATCACCACCACCACCACCACCATCATCATCATCATCATCATCAGCATCATCATCATCATCATCATCATCATCATCATCATCATCATCATCAACATCAGCATCAGCATCAGCATCAGCATCAGCATCAGCATCAGCATCAAGCATCATCATCATCATCATCATCATCATCATCATCACCATCACCATCATCATCATCACCATCATCATCATCATCATCATCACCACCACCACCACCACCACCATCATCATCATCATCATCATCAGCATCATCATCATCATCATCATCATCATCATCATCATCAACATCAGCATCAGCATCAGCATCAGCATCAGCATCATCATCATCATCATCATCATCATCATCATCATCATCATCATCATCATCATCATCATGATCATCATCATCATCATCATCATCATCGGGACACCGATGGGACACCGACGGGACACGGGCGGGACACCGGCGGGACACCGCGGGCCCCCAGACGCCCGGACGGCAATCATTTGGTCCGGCCGCGCCTCAGCCACACAGGACCCCAGCGGGACACCGGGCGGGACACCGCGTGCCCCAGACGCCTGGACGGCAATCATTTAGTCCGGCCGCGCCTCAGCCACAGGAGACTTTCTCTCGCCCGCCCACGCAGCTTCGCCTCGCCCGCACGCACGGCACGCACGAACACGAAACCGAAATCGATTTCCCGGTAGGGGGGCTCTCCGTTCCACTTCGATCTGAACCCCCAACCTCCGATGATACGATAATAGAGAGATCATTCCACATGGAAGAGGAAATGGGCATGACACTTGTGAGATATGATTGCCCTGCCCAAGATGTCCTCCACGACACAGACACACACAACCTTGTGGTTGTCCCGTCCCCCCACCTCTCGTTGGGGAATCCAGAAGGTACCGAGACCGCTACACCTCAGACCTCTCCCAGGGTGCGTTCTGACCAGAATATCCTGGCGAATCCAGCCATGGCGACGAGGGCCTCCCAGGAGGCCCAAAAATGGAAACACGAGGCGAGGATAGCTGTATCCGTACCTTTTCCTCCTCTGAACTTGTCCCCGCCCTTCTTGGCCCCCGAGTTTCCATCAGGATGCGCTTCCATCCGTAGCGACGACGTTGGCGTGGTCGGCGTCGTCGTCGACGTGGTCGTTGTCGTCGTCGGCATGGTCGACGTGATCGTGGTCGTCGTGGTCATGGTGATGGTCGTCGTCGTCGTCGTCGTCGTTGTCGTCGTCGTGGTCCCTGGGCCTGCGCGCCGGCGGTGGCCGTGCTGGAGTCCTGCACCTTGCCGCCCCCAGTGCTGCCCCGGCTCCAGGGCCACTTGGGCCAATCGTCGGCGGGCCCGAGCTGCATGGCACTAACAACCTCCTGCGGGGGCCGGGAGAGAATTCCCACACTTGAACACACGCGGCCCGAGAGAGTGAGGTACATGTTGAGCATCGTTCTAGCCGACCCTACTCCCCCTGGGCGCGGCCTGGGCTCTACCGTCCGACTTGCCCCCTAGATGGGGACGTAGGCTGTTTGCTTTCGGTTTGGAGGGGTATATCCCCAACTAGGGTGCTGAGATGGTGGGGGTCTGGATTCGGATGGGGAATGGGATAGGGGTCGGTTCAACGATACGGATATATACGTGAATATATATATATATATATATATATATATGTATAGATATTATCATACGCATCATTTCGAGGGAGTAAAGCTTACAAGCGATTAGTTGGGGGTCCCGTCCCGTCCAAGATTTGTCTTGTCGCTTCGCTCGGGACAACCTCAAAATCACATCAGCCCTGTAAGGCGCGAGTGGCTCAGAGCGCTTCCTCTCCCAACTATATTTCTTCCCCTTGGCGAGGGGCTTATCCCTCCCGCTAACCCCCTCACCCTGGAAAGGGGGGGGGTCCACGAGGTGTGGGGCGTCCAAAAAGGCCAACTTGCGAGGACCAGGGATGAAATCAACTCTCTGGAGGAGCCAAGGAAACATCGTGCGAGGACCAGGGATGGAATAAACTTTCTGGAGGAGCCAAGGAAACATAGGCGAGCTCCGCAAGGATTTTTTTGGATCGACGCTGGCCCCCCCTGGCGGCGCCTCCGGCGCCGCCCATGGCGCGCTCCACGCGCCCGGGAAATCCACGCGGGGCACCGACAATTTACGTGATATATATATATATGTATATATATATATATGTATATAGGTGTGAATACATATACATACGTGCATATAGATATGCATGTAGTCATGCATGTATGTATGTATGTATGTATGTATGTATGTATGTGTATGTATATGTATATGTATATGTATATGTATTTATATGTATATGTATATGTATATGTATATGTATATGTATATGTGCTTGTGTATGAATTTGTATATATATAGGTAGATGTCTATGTATATGTATAGATATATGTCTATGTATGTATGTACGTATGCATGTTTGTCTGCATGCATGTCTGTATGTATGTGCGTGTGCTTGTATGTATGCATGTATGTATGTGTGCATGTACGCATGATTGCATGTATGTATGTATGTATGTATGGTTGTATGTATGTATATATGGATGGATGGATGTATGTATGCATGGATGTGTGTACGTACGTATGTGCGTATGCATGTGTGTATGTATGTCTATATGTATGTATAATGTGAAATTGTACATGCATGTATGTCTGCATGCATGCATGTTTATATGCGTATACAGTCGGTATATATACATGCATGTATGTATGTATGGATATAGGTTTATGCACGTTCGTATGTCGATGTATGTATGTATGTATGTATGTTTGTTTGTTTGAATGTATGTATGTATGTATACGTATGGGTGTGATTCCCCACATGCTCAGTTGGGCTTGGGTTTGGGTTTCTCTCCCACCGGCGTCGCATCCGCGCTTCTCACCCACACCATCCTTTCGTCACGTCCACCTCCCCCGCCTTGCTCGTAAACCCACACCCACACCAGACATACGCACTCCTGCCACACACACACACGCATCATACTCGCACATACTTACAATCGCGCGCTCACACACAAACCGTACAACGCTATGATACACCTGGCGCGTTCATTGCACCAGACACACCAGACGCATGCAACACAGACCAAGCACCCCCATGATACACATGTCCACCTACAGCCGGCCGACGACACACACACACACATACACCAGAGACATACAAGAGAGTCACGGGCGCAGACCTAGGGCTCACACGACACGCGCACCACACGACACACAACAGTCGGGATCTGGCTGCACTCTTGCCGAAGCCATCAGGCGTGGCATTCCCAGGACACCACGAGGGGGTGCGCTGGGGAGGGTCCCCCTATATGTTACGAGCACAAGAAGTGGCAGGCGCGGCGTTTCCTCGACACCACCGGGGGTGCACTGGGGGTGGGAACGCTACCCACTTCGGGTTCGAAAAACGTGGCATGCATGGCACTTCCTCGACGCCGCAAAAGGGCGTGTTGGGGGTGGTTCGCTTTGCGCTTCGGCGTGCCATCGCGTGGCAGGCGTGGCACTTCCTCGACAACACAAGGAGGTGCGCTGGGGGTGGGGGCGCTATCCGTTTCGGGCTAGCAGGGCGTGGCACGCGTGGCACAGCGTTGACACGACAGGTGGTGCGCTAGGGATGGGAACGCTATCCGTTTCGGGTTGGCAGGGCGCGGCAGGCGTGGCAATTCCTCGACACCCTCTGTGATGCGCCGGGGGTGGTCCCATCCGCTGACGGCTCGCATCGCGTGGCATGCGTGGCGCTTCCTCGACACCCACAGAGGGGGTGCGTCGGGGGTGGGGGGAGCAGTGCGTTGCGGGCAGGCGTGGCACTTCCTCGACAACGCAGGGAGTGTGATGGCAGGTGGGGGCACTTTCTGCTGCGGGCTCTCAACGCGCGGCAGGCGTGGCACTTCCTCAACGCCAGGAGGGGGCGCTGGTGGTGGGAACGTGATCCGTTTCAGAAAGTGTGCGGGGGGTGGGGACGCCATCCGTTTCGGGCTCGCAAGGCGCGTTCGGACTGACACTCACTCGACACCAGAGGGGGTCGCTCAAGGTGGGGTGCTATACGATACGGGCTCGCAACGCGCGGCTGGCGCGGCACTTCCTCGGCACCATAGGAGGGTGCGCTGGGGGTGAAGGCTCTATCCGATTCGCGCTCGCCACGCGTGGCAGGCGTGGCATGGCCTTGACACCACGGGGGGGGGTGCTGGGGGTGGGGGAGCTACTCCTTCCGGGCTCGCAATGCGCGTTCGGAGCGACACCCGGTCGACACCTCACGGGTGCGGTGGGGGTGGGGGCGCTGTCCGTTTCGGGCTCGCAGGGCGTGGCAGGCATGGCACATCCTTGGCACCGCAGGGGGTATGCTGGGGGTGGGGGCGCTTTTTGTTTCGGGCTCGATAAACGTGGCAGGCGTGGCCCTTGCTCGACACTACAAAGCTGCGAGTGGGAGGTTGCACGGGCGAGAGCTCGCGTCAAATCCAGAACAGCAAACTCCCTGGCTCAAGCCAGATCCGCACGCGTGCGCTTTCACGCAGGCGCGCCTGTAATCCGTCTTGAAGGCAGTAACCGCCTGAACTGCGCGTGGCAGTCAAGCCGCCCTACATTGCCATGGACGCGCTGCCACCTCCGTGTCTGGAAATGAAGAACGCAATGGTTCAAATATGCAGCGAGGCTGGCGTGGAGAACTCGCGCAGATACGCAAACGGATTGGTTCTGTCCGCGTTAATGCGTACCGCCGCCAGCTTAACAAGTGGTGGTCCGATACGCTTTACGCGAAATACTGACATGAACGACGACGGCAAGAGGCAGAGCCTGAAGGCGTACTTGCGCAGCTAGAACCCTGCGTCGGGTGGGTTCCCCCCGCAGACTCTTCCATATCAGCCGGAAAAGAATGGGTAACACGACCGCGGGCCGGCAGCGAAGGTTCGGAGAGCGCGCGAGGCCAGCAACGCGGGCCTGACCCAGAGGCTTCCTCCGCAGCGCTTGCCACGCTTATGAGAGCTTCGCCCATGAAGGACACCAAGACGAAAGTGGTAGTAGTAGTGGTGGTGGTAGTAGTGGCAGAGGTGGTCGTAGTGGTCATATCAGTAGTAAAGATAGTGGTGGTAGTATGGTGTTCCTGGACGTGGTCGTGGTAATGGTCGTGGCAGTGGTAGTGGTAGAGTTACTATCAGTAGTAGTAGTAGTAGTAGTGGTAGTAATAGTAGTATTAGTAGCAGTAGTAATAGTAGTACTAGTAGTAGTAGTAGTAGTAGTAGTAGTAGTAGTAGTAGTAGTGGTAGTAGTAGTAGTAGTAGTAGTAGTAGTAGTAGTAGTAGTAGGAGGAGTCGTAGGAGTAGTAGTAGTAGTAGGGGTAGTAGTAAAAGTACTACTACTACTACTACTACTACTACTACTACTACTACTAGAGGTCGTAGTGGTAGTAGTGATAATAATAATAATAATACTGGTAGTAGTAGTAATAGTAATACGAATAGTAATAGTAGTAGCAGAAAAATAATAGTAGTGGCAGTAGTAGTAGTTGTAGTAGTAGTAGCAGCAATAGTCGTCGTAGTACTAGTCGTAGTCGTCGTAGTAGTAGTAGTAGTAGTAGTAGTAGTAGTAGAAATAGTCGATGTCGTAGTCGTACTAGTAGTAATAATAGTGGTAGTAGTAGCAATAGTATTAAAAAGAAAAGTAATAGCAGTGATCGTCGAAAACAATCATTCTAAGAAAAGTAGTGATGGTAGTCGAACGGCTGAGATCGTATTTAGTAGCAGTAGACATACTGATACGAATAGTAGTGATAAACGGTAGATCGGTAATAGTACTAATAGTATTAATAATAGTTGTAAGAGTCGTCGTCGTGGTAGTAATAATAATAAGGAAATAGTCGCAGTAGCCGTAGCAATCCTGATAGTAGTGGTAATGGTAAGGGTAATGGACAGTAGGAGTAGTAGTCGTGAAGTAGTACTCGTAAACAATAACCGTCGTAGTAGACGTAGCTGTAGTAGGCGTAGTAGTAGTGGTAGTAGGAATTACGATATGAGTCGTAGTAATAGTAAGAGTCGTAGTAGTAGCAGTAGCGGTAGTATTGGTCATGAGACAAATACCAGGAGATTATCAAGTAGCCATGATAGTAGTAGTACTAGTTGTAAAGTAATAGTAGTAGTAGTAGTAGTAGTAATAGTAGTAGTAGTAGTAGTAGTAGTCGTCGTAGTAGTAGTAGTAGTGGTAGTAGTGGCAACCATCGTAATCGTGATGGTAGTACACGTCGAAGTCATAGCCGTCGTCATGTTAGTAGTAGCGGTCGTAGTAGTAGTAGTAGTAGTAGTAGTAGTAGCAGTAGTTGTTGTAATGATAGTAGGAGTAATAGTGATAGGAGTGGTAGCACTAG